GAACAGCAGCAACAGCAGCAGCAACAAGAATCACAGGAGCAAGAACTGTGCCTGGAACAGCAGCAACAGCAGCAGCAACAAGAATCACAGGAGCAGGAACTGTGCCAGGAACAGCATCTGGAACAGCAGCAGCAGGAGCTACAGGAGCAGGAACAGCATCTGGAACAGCAGCAGCAAGAGTCACAGGAGCAGGAACTGCATCTGGAACAGCAGCAGCAGGAGCGACAGGAGCAGGAACTGCACTTGGGACAGCATCTGGAACAGCAGAAGGAGGAGCCAAAGGAGCAGAAAATACAGCAGCAGCAGCAAGAGGAACAGTGTGAGGAACATCAGGAAGCAAAAAATCTGGAGCAGCAGCTGGAGCAGGTGAAAGCACAAAGGGAGCAGCAGCAAAAGGAACAGCTGGAACAGGAAAAGAAGCTCTTGGACCAGCAACTGGATCAAGAGCTAGCAAAGAGAAATGAGCAATTGAAAAAGAAAGAAGAGCAGCTGCTGGAACAGCAGGAGCAGCCGCTGGAACAGCAGGAGCAGCCACCAGAGCCAGCAGAGCAGCAGGAGGGGCAGGTGGAGTGGCCTGCATTTGTCCCAGTTCCTGGCCAGGACCAAGAGACCCAGCCAGTTCAGTCACCGAAGGGAGAAGTCTTACCCCTCACAAAGCAGCAACAGCAGAAGCAGGAGCTGTATGGCCCCCCAAAACATAAGTAAGCACTCCCAGTATCCCAGAGGCTCTCAGGCCATCCCACACAAGTGAAGAGAGAGCCAGTGGCCTCACTAATTTCAGGTCCCCAGCCTGGGTGGCCTGCCTCATCTGTGAACCTGCCTGACCCTGTCCTTCTGTTTCTTTGATGGGGCTGGGGGAAGGGGAAGTTATTGTTCAGCAACCACCCCTAATGAACTCGGCCCCAATCTCAGGTGGCCAAATCCTCTGCCTAAGGAGACAGTTACCATACTAACTCTGACTTCATCCCCAGTATTATAGTTGAATCTGTGAGTGTGTACAATAATACAGAATAAATCCTGGAAGTCCTTGGATCCTGTATTCTCTTTGTCTTTTCTCCTCTGTCTCTCACCATATAAAAATCTGTGTGTGGGTCAATGGTTGCAACAGACTCTCTTGGCCAATTCCCAAAGGAGGAAAGACATCTTTAACCCTGCTCCTCAAACCACCCAATGTATTCACCAGCTCCTTAAAAGGAAACCAAACCAATACCAAACCAAAACAACTTCACTCTTGCACCTGAAAGTAAAGCTTGTCAATTGCTGATCATGAGCAGGGACAAGTTAATCTGGTTGGAGGAAGGAGGATCTGTCCACCTCAGTTCAGCACTGCCTTACACCACACACCAGGCCCAATCCTAGCCTCTGGCCAAGCTCAGTCCAGCACCTCCGAGCTCCTCTCATCTCCTCACTTTGGGGATGGCTCTGGGAAGATGCGAGGCTTTGGGGCTTTGGCTGGGTTCTGGTCCCTTCCTGGATGTTCTCTCTGTAGAATAGATTCTAAGAGGCTTATGGACTCTTAAGTCTACTTGGCTAAGGAAAACTTTAGAAAAGTGACAGAAGCAGAATTGAGCAAGGTGGGAAGAGGAGAGTCCCAAGACTGGTCCCAATCGGTGACAGTGACAGTGTCACTAAAGCACTAAAGAAAGTAAAGGTTGGGCCCACTGGAATCATGAGAGTGCTCAGTAGGTTGGAGAAATACAGATCCAAGGCCACTGTAGCCATTACCCTCCCTGACATTTCTGTAGCCTTTACTGGCATCAATCACACCAGGACTTGGGGCTCTCTCCTTCCTGGGACAAACTCTGCCTTTAATGCTTCAAACCACCTGCCTTTAACTATTAACCTTATCATTTCAGGCAAGTTGTCTCAAGCCACCTAAAGCTATTTTACCACAGCCATGAGGATATGCCTGGGGCATCCTTGTTGAGACGTCCACAGGCAAAGGGAGAAGTAACCAGAAAAACTCACAGTATGCACTCATTTTCTTTGGAGAGTTAGGTTTTGATGTGTGTGTGTGTGTGTGTGTTTTTAAATAGACCTTATTTTTTAGAACAGCTTTGGATTTACAAAAAAGTTGAGAAGCTAATACAGAGAGTTCCCATATACTCCACACCCAGTTTCTCATATTATTAACATTTTTACTTGGATATGGTTCATTTATTACAATTAACAAAACAATATTGATATATTAACTAAGGTTCGAGATTTACTCTAATTTCCTTAGTTTTAACCTAATGTCTTTTTCTGTTCCAGGATCCCACCTAAGATACTCCACTATAATTAGTCATCTTGTCTCCTAGGCTCCTCATGACTAACAGTGTCTCAGACTTCCATTGTTTTTGGTGACATTGACCATTTTGACGGAGTACAGATGAGCTATTTTGTAGACTCTCTCAGTTTGGATTTGTCTGATGTTTCTCTTATGATTAGACTGAAGTTGTGGGTTTTTAGGAGAAAAAGTACAGAGGCAAAGTTCCACTGTCATCACATTATATGAAAAGTACATACTCCTAACATGATTTATCACTTTGATCTCCTGACTGATGTAGTGTGTGTCAGGTTTTCCCACTGTAAAGTTAAATGCTCCTCAGCCTACCCCTCATCTCCCATCTTTCTATAGTGTGTTGTTTGGAAGGAGGTCACCGTGTGAAGTGGGGAGTAAGCTCCCTGTCATTGAGGGTGAAGTATCAACATAAATTATCTGGAATTTTCTGTATAGGAAATTCATCTCTTCCTTCTCACTATTTGTTTATTTGTTTATATGTTTAATCACTTATTTATATCAGTGTGGACTCATGAATATTTATTTTATATTTTGGGCTATAATCCAAGTTATTTATTTATTTTCTTTTTTATTATGGTAAAACACACATAATATAAAAATTACTATCTTAATAATTATACAGTTAAATAGTATTGAGAACATTTATTTTGTTGTGCAACTGCCCGTCTCCAGAACTCTTTCATCTTGCAAAACCGAAATTCTGTACCATTGCAACAATGGCAACCACCATTCTCTTTTCTTGATTTCTTTTTGTCTTTTTATGGGAGGAGGAGGGGCAAAGGGTTAACCCATCCTTCCAGTCCCCTCCCCTCCGGCAACCCTCAGTTGGTTTCCTATAAGAGTCTCTCGACTTTGGGGAGGGTATGTGCTATGGTGAGCGCTGTGAATTGTGTAAGACTGATGAATCACAGACCTGTACCTCTGAAACAAATAATACATTATATGTTTAAAAAAAGAAAAAAAAAAGAAGATAGTAGGAAGGGAAAAAATGAAGAAGGGGAAATCGGAGGGGGAGACGAACCATGAGAGACTATGGACTCTGAAAAAAATAAAAAAAGAGTCTCTTATGATTTGTCTCCCTCTCTGATTTCATCTTCTTTTATTTTTCCCTCCCTTCCTTTATGTGCCTCTGTTTTGTTTCTTAAATTGCACATATGAGTGAAATCATATGATAATTGTCTTTCTCTGATTGATTTATTTCGCTCAGCGTAATACCCTCTAGTTCCAACCACATCATTGCAAATGGCAAGATTTCATTTTTTTGATGGCTGAGTATTATGCTGTTGTGTATATTTCTTCTTTATCCATTCATCTGTTGATGGACATCTAGGCTCTTTCCACAGTTTGGCTATTGTGGACATTGCTGCTATAAACATTGGGGTGAAAGTGCCCCTTCGGATCACTACATTTTTATCTTTGGGGTAAATATCTAGTAGTGCAGTTGCTGGGTCCTAGGGTAGCTCTATTTCCAACTTCTTGAGGAACCTCCATACTGTTTTCCAGAGTGGCTGCACCAGCTTGCATTCCCACCAGCAGTGTAAGAGGGTTCCCCTTTCTCCACAGCCTCACCAACATCTGTCATTTCCTGACTTGTTAATTTTAGCCATCCTGACTGGTGTGAGGTGGGGTTTTGATTTGTATTTCCCTGATGCTGAGTGATGTTGAGCATTTTTTCATTTGTCTATTGGCCATTTGGATGTCTTCTTTGCAGAAATATCTATTCATGTCTTCTGCCCATTTCTTGACTGGATTATTTGTTCTTTGGGTGTTGAGTTTGATAAGTTCTTTATAGATTTTGGATACTAACCCTTTATCTGACAAAACATTTGCAAAAATCTGGGAGAGAGAGAATCTTAAGCAGGCTCCATGCCCGGCACAGAGCCTGATGCAGGGCTTGATCTCACAACCCTGAGATCATGACCTGAGGTGAAATCAAGAGTCAGATTGAGCCACCCAGTTGCACCATGACTTCTTTTTGTGTTTTCAAAAAATCTTTCCTTTCCCCTCAGATGCGAGCCTCTGGTAATCACCATTCTACTCTCTAAGTTCAGCTTTTTTGGTCATGAATAAGTAACTATGTATTAAGCTAGATAATATACATATAATTATGCATCACATTATATATCACTAAATATGATATAATATAATATAATAATTAATATAATATAAATGTATATCACATTTTTTTATCCATTCATCTGTTGACATTTAGATTGTTTCCATATCTTGGTTACTGTGAATAATGCTGCAGTGAACATGGTAGTGCAGATGTCTCTTCAGGTACTGATTTAATTTCCTTTGGGTATATACACAGAAATAGGATTGCTGGACCATATGGTAGTTTTATTTTTAATTTTTGGAGGACCCTCCATATTATTTTCCATAAAGGCTGTGTCAGTTTACATTTCTACCAAAACTGTATAGTGGTTGCCTTTTCTCCACATCCTTGCCAACACTTGTTACCTTTTGACTTTTTTAAATAGCTATTCTAATGGGTGTGAGGTGATATCTCATCATGTTTTCTTTTTCTTTTAATTAATTTTTTTGTTTGTTTTATTTTTTTAATTTAAATTTTAGTTAGTTAACATATAATGTAATATTGCTTTCAGGAGTAGAATTTAGTGATTCATCACTTACAAATAACATCCAGTGCTCATCAAAACAAGTGCCCTCCTTAGTACCCATCACCCATTTAGCCCATCCCCCACTCACCTCCCTCCATCAACTCTCAGTTTGTTCTCTATCATTAAGAGTCTCTTATACTCCATATCTGGGCTCTCTATTTTGTTCCACTGGTCTATGTGTCTGTTTTTGTGCCAGTACCATGCTGTCTTGGTGATCACAGCTTTGTAATATAGCTTGAAATCAGGGAACGTGATGCTCCCAGCTTTGTTTTTCTTTTTCAACATTTCCTTGGCGATTCAGGGTCTTTTCTGATTCCATAGAAATTTTAGGACTGTCTGTTCCAGCCCTTTGAAAAATGCTGTTGGTATTTTGATCAGAATGACGTTGAAGGTATAGAATGCTCTGGGCAGCATAGACATGTTAACAGTGTTTATTCTTCTGATCCATGAGTATGGAATGTTTTTCCATCTTTTTGTGTCTTCTTCAATTTCTTTCATAAGTGTTGTATAGTTCCTAGAGTATAGATCCTTTACCTCTTTGGTTAGGTTTATTCTGAGGTATCTTATGGTTTTTGGTGCTATTGTAAATGGAATCATTTCTCAAATTTCTCTTTCTACATTTGCATTGTTGGTGTATAAGAAAGCAACTGAGG